GTGAAGTGCTTAGAGGGCAAAGACCATTTTCACAGGAGACTTGGGAAATGGGGTTAGTTTCAAGTGACACCCAGCCAAATGCTTCCAACTGGTCTCGCCCGCCAATCCACAACAAAATGCTCGATAAAATCCCTCTTTGTATTCCAAAATTTTAACACTGACCTCTTAGTAATTTCAACATATATGAATTCAATATAAGTATTAATGCCTTAAAGATCTAAGATTATCCCTATTGTGCTTAATAAAACATGAATTGGGTTTCCAAGTTTCAGTATAAAAAGTATAGCTTAATAAATTTCTTTATTACATAATCAGAAGTGGCCAATATGCTAAGTCCCAAAAAAAATTTAAATCATCAACCATGTAAGATTAAAGTCCCTGGTTGAATATTAATTCACAAACTTCCCATTTTCTGACCGTTCTGATCTCAAAATGCTGGCTTTCAAATAAATGCTGATCTATCTATCACTAAAATAACTTTGAATATTTTTGTGCTTAGATCTTCTCTGGTTAGTATGGAAGGTACTTGCTGGCATCTTTATTGACCAGGGATTTCATCAATTAAAGCCATTTAAAAATATTTTGGGGAAGTTAACATTCTGATTCTTTTTAAGTACTTTTATACATTTTGAATTTATTCATTGTATGTATGCCTGTGTATTCCATGGAATGCATTTGATGGTCAGAAGACAAGTTGCATGTGGTCACAGGAAAACCCTCAGGATATGGTCCTCTCTACGGGGGACCCTGGAGATTGAAGTAGCATCACACTTGGTGACAAGGGCCGTCCCTGTTGCTCAATAGTCTAACCTTGCCAATGAAAAGTGGATACCAAGCGAACCCTCTGAACACAGGTCATGGGAACGGAGGGGAGGAAGTACTGCATGAGTACTGGCCCCATGGCGGTTCAGGGCGAAGGTAAGGGGAGAGGCCGTGGGTAAACATGGACACAGAGACACGCAGGGTACAGAGAATGTCTGGACTCCCCTGGCCTGGCAGCTACGGGTGAGCTGGTGACTGAGAAGTGCTTGTGTTTCTGCTGTTTTGGGGGGCCATCCTGGGAAGGTCTCGCTGTAAGTGCTGCTTTGAGAGAGATGTTCGTTCACAGGTTCAGTCCCTTGGAGCTCACAGCAAGCGGCACCATGCTGCCCCATCAGCATCTACCTCGTGGCCCAGTGTGCCCCAGGAAAGCATTGCTGAAGGGAGCTCCCTGGAGAACATATCTGGTGAGGTTTGGAATGGCTGGTAGCTTAGGGGGCACCAAAGAGGGTTAGGAGACGAGGCATGACCGCAGCAATGCATACAGTGACAAGGCCACAAAAAAAAGCAGTTGTGGGTGGTGGGAAGTCAGGACAGCTGCACTCTTTCTACCCAGTGGAGTTTGCTGTCCTGCCCCTGCAGGTGGGTTCTCTGGAGGGGCCTAGGATCCAGACGGACAGAAGAGTTCAGTGCCAGCTTCTCCTGGGGTGGGGGGGGGGGGGTTGGTGAAATACTCTGTCTCAAGTACACAGCATCTGAGGAAATGTTTGCTTTTCTCATGTACTGTGCAGGGAAAGAGAGCTATTCTAGTCAGCTCCGATTTCAAGCTGCTCCCACTGACTCACTGTAAAGCAGCACAGACAAGAGAAAGACTGAGTATCCCTCAGTCTTTGCTCTCTACAAGGCGTACATAGCCCAAAACACAGCCAAGTTCAGGGTAGGAGAGGTGAGTATCCATTTTTGCACGAACAATCATCCCTGCAGCAGTACTTAGTCCCTTTGATTTATTTTGACATATGTTTGTATATGTGCTTGTGTATGTATCTATGTATATATGTATATATATACATATATACTAACATATAAATGCTAATTTGTTGTTGACTAGTGTGTATAATTTTTAAAAACTTTTCCTTTTTATTCTCTTATAGATGATACTTGGGTGTCATGTTTATGAATAGAAAGGCAGGCATTACATTCTTTATGTCATATGTAGAATATAGAAACAAACAAATCAAAAAGCACGAAGTTAGAAGGAGTGATAGAAGAAATATGGAGGCACTCGGGAAGACGGCTCCGTGGATGAATAAGAGACTGCTGTACAAAGGTGAGGGCTGAGTTCAAACTCCTGCATAAGAACTTAGAAATGGTTTGTGCACTTGGACTGGTTGCTGTCCGGAGCGGAGACACAGATTTAGTAACTTAAGCTTGCTGGCCAATAGGCAAAGTCCAGGCTCAGTGAGAGATCCTGTCTCAAGGGAGTAAGGTGGAGAGAGCGATGGAGCCTGACATCTGTTCTCCTTCTCTGGCTTTCGTGGATACCTGTGTCCACACACACATGTGCACACGCATTTCACACGCACAAGAACAAAGGTTAGAAGGAACAAAAATGATCAGGACATTTGGTATGCACGCACAAAAGTGTTACAATGCTATCCAGTGTTCTAGATAGTTTCTGTATAGTAACAAAAGAGCACATGAGTCACAAAAGGGGTTATAAAGCGAATCATGTCTTAGGTTTTTGTTGTCAATAAGTAAATAAAAATATAATCATCGACCCTGAGAAGCTCTGCGGCTTCAGAAAGGCCATTCCAGCTGTGTAGAGGTCCCCTGACATGTACGGATTTGGGAATGGGCAAGGGCTTAATCAGCTTCATTAATCTGGCTGTGTGATGTTTTCATTTGTGACTTAATTAGAGTCCAGTGATTTTATTTTAAAAACTTAATAGCCAGGCACAGTGGCACATGCCTGTAATCTCAGCACTTAGGAAAAAGAAGCAGGCAGATTGCAATTTGCAGTCAGTCTGGGCAAGAGCTTAATGCTACTATCAGTCAAGACCCTGTCTCAAAAACTCAATTAAAAATTTTGAAGTCAGAAAGTTAAACAAAAAAAACCGTGTAAATCAGAAAGGAAAATTTGTCCCTTGGTAGACAAACTGTTTCAAACATAAGCAGCCTCACTAAATCATGTGGACCGCAGCGGGGTAATAGCCCAGCAGCTACGACAACGTGACGCTTTCTCGGGAGCTCCGGTTCTGTTCCCAGCACCCACATGGTGATTCATAAGCCCTGTGACTCCAGTTCCAGGAAACCTAACACTCACTTCTGGCCTCCTCTGGCACTCTACACACCAAAGTGCACTTAACTAAATGCAGGCAAAACATTCATACACATGAAATATAAATGAATAAATAAATCTTGAAGCATCAGTGTGCTACCCTTTGAAGAAGGGAAGATTTCGAAACAAAACTTTACCTATACGAGGAGAAGGCTTCCCTCTGACAAGCTGTGGACCCCAGGACAGTGACTCATACACACCTGCCTCTTTGCAGTGGAGACTGCACTTGAACTTGGCAATTCATATACTTTCCTCTGCTGAGGCTGCTGAGCTGCTCCCATTTTCACAGATCAGGTAAAACAACGTCAACCAGAAAGATTGTCTTCATTGTCACAGACATCCAAATTCATTGGAAACAGACAGCTGTTTTGGCATTGTCTGCCAAGTATTTAAAGGTTTCTATGTCCACATTTCTATGTCCAAATCAGAGCCCAATTCGGTTACACCAATTAATTGTTAGAAAGAGACTCTTCTAGAAACAAGACAAAGATTTCTCTGTTCTTTACTAAACCACCATGAAGTGAGGACTTCTAGGATACAGCCCAGCTCTTACTACAGGGCCCAATACTGGTGAGCTCCACACTTAACATCTATTATCCCGTTGGCATAGAAACAACGGAAAACCCCGATCCTCATCAGCCACCTTCACTAAGCTCAATTACGGGCCAAGCACCTTGAGTAGGTACCGTGGCTTTCTGAATGCCTTCCTAAAACCAATGCACCAATTGTAGATATAAATATATATATATATATATATATATAAATATATATATATAAATATAAAAATATATATATACTGATACTGCACTCTTATGCCAAAGTACAGCCCTATCGACAGTTATTATTAGAAAAAAACAAATGCATATATACTGTGTTCTCAAATTATTAAGGATAATAAAATGTTGAAATAATAATTTAAACCAAATTAAGAATTCTCAGAACAGCCTAAGGAAATCTATTAGTACCTGATTCAGGGCGACAGACAGGCAGGCAGGTTCATATGCTTGTATATGGATGTATGGCTGAACCGCATATGCTTGCTATCTTTGTGTACAGACATACAGACATTTATATGTGCGTATAAAAGTACACACACACGTGTAAGCACATGCATGTGCATGCATGTGTGTTTCACGTCAAAGGTAATTTTTATAAACCTCGAGGGGCGATTTTGATGATCCCTGGGGGAGTGGGCATCCTGGAGCACCTCCTGGGAGACAGAGCACACACTCCCTCCGGTTTGAAAAGCAAGTGTGGGTTTGGCAGCACTGAGTCGCGCGAAGCCCTGAAGAAACAAAAGGCGGGTCTGCCTCTCTTCTAGACACTGCAAATGCCAGACATCTAGCAGTTATCTCAGCCTCCCACGGCCTCTGAAGTTCTTCCAAACTGTCGGCGACAACTACAATGATAATATAACACCTTCCGAACGCCTCGAGTGCGGAGTTCACTAGTTCTAAGGTCAGCGACTTAACGCAACAGCCAAGTTTCATTCCCATCATCAGACACGATCTGAGAAAGACAGCCACAGACCCCGAGCGAGGGTTTAAATGCCGCCACAACTCGTGACATCAGTGTTGGGCTCCAAAGGAGTTAACATCTAAACGTAAAATTCAGTGACCAAATAAAGCAGAAATTCCCTGGACATGGGATTACTGCCCACGGCATCGTTGCTGCTCGTCTGCGGGGCGGAGAGTCTTACAGCAGCGCGAGGGGAGAAACTGCTAACACGTCAGGAGCTGCAACATGAGTTCACCGAAATGCCTGTCTTCTCTCACTGTCATTTACATATACCCGGGATTTAGATACAGCGTCGGCCTTCCTGGGTAGGTGCCGTTTAAAGGAGAAGACAGGATGACAGATCCCCGTGTTTAACCAAATGTTAAATATTTTTTATTTTACTCACCTGCACACTGAGATGAATCCATTCCTTCATAAGAATTCTCCCTGGTGTCATTACTTTTATCGGAGGCTGCAAACCATTTACTGTGCGGTAATAAAACATGGTCTCTTTCTCGGATATTGTAACTTTGAACACAATCTGCCCAGCCACTGTCTTCTCTATCACACACCTAAGGAAGCAACCAGAAAAGACAGAAAAGGTCAGTATCCGAGCAAAACGTCAAGTTAAGGTCCTGTCCTGATAGAGTGACCCCAAGCCCACTCAAAGTGGCATGCTAAGAATAAGTGCCTGAATCTTAATATGCTCCTGGAAAGCTTTATTTTGACAAAAGTAGCCTTATTTCAGGAAAAATAGAATTCTTATTTATAATATATTCCCCAGAGCCTCAACACCCTTCATTAGAGATTCATGACAGAAAGTAAAGTAGTTGCATCCTACTGGAAAACTAACATTTAAGCTACTGGCCCATTAGTTCCCTGGCTATTCCTTTTATAGGACGTGGTAGGACACAGCACACCCCACATGGGCAGTGAGTTACCAAGGCAAATCTTTCTTCTTCTCTTAATGTCAAATGAATCTGGAGCCCATGGAAGGCTCTAAGTTATTAGCCCTGAAGTCAGAATTGCTCTGTCTGGTTCCTATGATGAAATGGAGAATGAACATCAACCGTCTCTTCTTACTTCATCATCCGCTGGCCAGAAGCCAAATGCAGTGTGTACCAGATGACTGCCTACCTTCCATGACCAGCAGGCCAACTGGGACACTGAGATAGATACTGTGGTGATAGTTCATGGGAATAAAATTAAGTTGTATTTTGATGACGAAGAATGACTTTCAGGAAGAGTCTAGGCCTTACATTACACTTTCTTTACTTTAGAGCCCAGGTTTTTACACAGCTCAAGCTGGTTTTGATCTTGAAGTCCCTCCATTCCAGCCTTCTGAGTGCTGAGGTGACAGGCGGATGCCACCGTTCCCAGCTGAAATTTCCTTCAAAGGGTCACTTCTCTGTTGACTGCCTGGTGTGCCTTTCAGGGCTCCTTTCTTACCTGACTGCTCTCCACCCAGGCTAGGCATCGCCACAGGAATCACCGATTACAAAACACTCCTCTCAGCTCAACAATGTGTAAGCAGCCGTCCTTCCTGCTCACTGAACATGCTTTGCCATCTGGATAGGAACGAGAAGCCACCTGCCAGGGCACCAGGATTCTAAGGATATGAAAGATATATGGAAGACTAAAGACTTCTTCCCACAAAGTGATGGCATTCAGTCAGGAGCATCCCAGAGGCAAAGGTAAAGTTGGGCCACCCAAGAATTGCTGTGAAAAATGTTTCAAATTTGGGGACATCTTAAAAACCTCACTTTACTTTCATCTATTTTTGTCCTGATTTAGAATACAGAATAAGATTGGAGAGCAAGGGTCTCTCTTTTATTGGTACTAATTCACTATGCTTTTTCACTTCATTTGATATGAAATAAAGCATGTTTTTAATTTTGTCAAATAATATTAGATGAAAGCTTATAAAAATATACATACATACATAGATGCTACTACTGCAGGCTATTTTTAACACTTTGGTAGTTGAATATTTGTGATTACTAACATGAAAAAAATTGCCTTTATCCAATGTCTCTGGGCCTTAGTCTAAGAGTTTTCCTTTGTTCATTTGTCTTGAGTATAAAATCTACAAGTGAGAATTCAATCATTACACAGGAATGTATTTACCAAATGCAGACTTATTTCCCCAAGCTTGCTGAAAATGCTTTTCTTAATATGTTATTGATTATCTCCCTTGCTATTTTGTTTGCTTGTAAACACTCTAGCTTTGGTAGATAATAAATGTGAGACGAAGGCAGGTAGTAAAATATTTAGGAACTGGATTTATTCTGCTCCTGAATACACAATAATTGGATAATCCGTGTTTTGTTTGTTTTGCTTATCTAGTACAAACACCCCCAAATTCCTCCAATTCCCACAGGCATTTTAGCTTCAAGAATGAAAACGACCTTGATGCAGGAAGTGGATCCTCCAGACTATGACCCTCACACCACAACGTCTGCGGACACCCCTCTGTCTTATCCATAGGCAATTACGCCAATAAAGGAGACATTTGGTGCAGAGATGTCTCTGCAAGCTTGAGAAACATGTTTTAAGAGTCTAGATGCTGATGACAATTCAAATGACTTGAATTTCCTGAAATTTCCAACAATAAAATAGCAAAATCTTTTTTTTTTTTTTTTTTTTTTTTTGGTCAAGGAAGAATAGAAACAGTGTTAATGGACTGCAATTATTTTCCTTCTGAATTTAAAACAAAAGTGAGATGTGTGAACTTTCTCTTGGTAGATGAAACATAAACACCCAAGATGTCTAAGTCACATTTGCTTGTGACATGCCAAGACTTTACTTGTTGCTTCGTAAGTGTTGAGATGCCCCGTGCAGTCCCACAAAGGAAACATGACAAGGGCAGGTGCCCAGCACTACTCAGAGACAAAATATGAGGTGAGAGTAGAACACACTTCATGGATGAAAATGCCAAAAAATTAACATTAAACAAATAAAGATTAGTGGGAGTCCGAGAGATGGCTTAAAGGTTAGGAGCTCTTGCCAAAGATCTGAATTCGGCTCCGAAAGCCCATGTCAGGAGGTTTGTAAACATCCTTGACAGCTCCAGAGCTCTCAGCTCCCTCCCTGGCCTCTATGAGTACTGCACTTACATTCGCATACACATAAGGACATACATAGTAAAAAGTAAAAAGCACATTAAGTAAAGATCAGTCAAAATGGTGCTTATTATGTTCACAGACTGGCTCTGCATTTATTCAGGAGACTGGTGTCAAACATCAGTGTGATTAGGATTATAGGAGGAAAAGCTTGTAATCACACAAACCAAAATTGGTTGTAGCAAAGCTTCATTCCTAATTACGTTGAGGGTACCCTTAGCAGATTCAACAGCAGGGTAGCTTTGGAGAAGGTCTCATGATTACCGACTTCCTAACAGATCTGAAGATGGGAGCACCACACAGTGAAGGCCCAAGGCTGAAATGTGTGGGAGGTAGAGCTGGTATGGTATGATATGGTATGATATGGTATGGTATGGTATGGTATGGTATGGTATGGTATGGTATGGTATGGTATGGTATGGTATGGTAGAGGTGCTATCCATATGTTCAACTCTATTACAGAACATCTTTCATCCATCACATAAAGCATTTATTGAGAAAAGAAAGATAAGTAAAACAGTCCTAGGTCTTCAAAAGCTACCTGACTAGTAAAACTGTTTATTTTCTAGTAGGGATACTTTGTATATATAAGCCTCAAGCAAGACTTCAAACATAACAGTTATTTCTATTACTGGCTCCTGTGCCTACAAATGCACTCTGAACTCTAGACTTAACAGGCTAGGACCAAATATCACCTAGTTTGTGAGAAACAAATAAATAATAAATGACTTAGATATAATTGATATTTATCAATGTATAATTAGAATGTGTATTCTATTATATATAACTTTTATAAATGATACTCTCTATATATAATCGATATATGTTCAGATATATTGCCGTCCAATGTAACTATTTCAGCACATTCTTTTTTCATGGTCAACTCTATTTACAACAGACTGAAAACATTTCAGGAAAACAATGCTCAGATCAGAAAGCCAGAAGAGAAAAGACCAACGTAGCCATTGCCCCTTACTGCGCACCTCTCTCATTAGCATAATTTCTATGCGAGACCTCAGACTACAATAATATTCACAACTCCTGGTTTTACCGATTCCTAGGCCACCTGGGAACTGGGAACCCCAGCTGATGTTACTCACATCACGCCTTCTCGCTCAGGCTTCAACCACACAGCTAAGGTCAATTCTGCTGCCAGCCTCGGAGCCCGCAGAGAGGGGCAGTTCTTGTGACTTCCAAATATAAAGCTCGGGGAGTTGCTTCTGGCGTGAGGGCGGAGGTCTCTGTAGTCTGCAGGGAGGCAGCCCCGGATGCCTTCCAGGAGGGCCGTATAGGGAGGGGAGGCAGAGCGGTAGGGGCAGTCCTGGACACAGCGCGTCTCGGTACACAACTGCATGCTCTCAGCGGCCACCGAAGGATGACAGAAAGTGCTGGCGCTTGGGAACCCACACGTGGCTTGGGTTGGCACAGTGGATACCTTCTTGAAAGCGCCCACATTCTCCAGCCTTGGGAAAATGCCCTGAGAGGCAGTCAAACTCACTGAGGCCAAGTAGGCAAAGACGAATGTTTTAATGGCCTGACACAGGAAGCCCATTGAAAAAACCAGGCAACGCGTGGTTATAAAAAGTTATTCTTCACCCGATGATGAGGCCTTCCTAAATTAATAACCAGACCTGCGCACCCGAATACTGAGATTCTCCATCTCCCAGAAACTGCAGACACACTTTCACAGGGAAGGCAGAGCGAGGACGTCCTCAGGGAGGGCAGAGACATGAGCTGAAGCTGGCCTCTGGTGAACGAACACACAAGAAATCAAGAGTTTATCCAAAACATAAAGACTGTGCCACCTACAAAAACAACAGCAAACTTCTCAAAGTCCATTTAAACTATACAGCTTAGGGTCAAAAACTGCAATAAAGATCTTGACCTTATTGAGAAAATCAGAGTCCTCAATCTACAGGACAATCAGTTTATGTATTTATATGTTATTGTGAATTGTATAGTCTAAAAACTACTTTGAGCTGTTACTCGACCCCAGGGAATTGGCACTACTCGCTCTAATTAATGCAGTAAAGCATCCTTTAGCTCTTTTCACGAACACCATATGCTATGACCAGAGCTAACTTGCATATGCCCAAAGAGGAGCTAGCTAAGCACTCTGGGCCTTTCCCCTCATCTGAGCCTGCGCAGCCACTTTAAGCTCACAGCAAAGCTGATTAGAAACTCAATACCATCTGCTTGCCCTGTGCCTTAATATTTATCAAGCATTTGTGTTAATGTTTTCACATATGACTCTGTATTTGGAGGTTAAATATGGATTCCTAATACTGTGTAAGTAATTGTATTGATAAATAAGCCGAGTTACCATTTCTTTATTGAATTTCAACTGGTCCCCTCAGTGTGAGAAATAGCTCCTGGATAGGACCTCTGTCCCACGTTGCCTGGCAACCCTGCTGTAACCCTCTCCCCATTACTTCTAGGAAATAGGCCCCCAGCAACAGGAAGGCTGTGAGGAAGACTTGGCACTTGGGAAAAGTGTTCCCCACAGCTCAGAAGATTACCTGGACCTCAGTGCTGGCTGCTTGGTGGCCCCTCTGGAACTGAGCTGTCCCAGCTCTCAGCTGGTACCTTGGTCAGTGGCAGGGAGTCAGGTGGGGCTATGCATGCTTAATTTTTAAAGAAGCAGTACGCCTTATCCGGTAAGATCCTGCCAGTCCCTCCTCTTTCCTACTCTCATGAACCTCACTCCATGCAATGCTTTAATCAGAAGGACCTCATTCTATTAGACAGCAACATTATAGTTAATTCTGAATTCATTCTTGGGGAGGAAGGATCCAGCATGAGGCTCAAAACTTGAATTACACTTTTAAAAGCTGGCCAATGGATGAAAGTCTCTCTCCATATTTGTGGACCTATGTCATCTCAGGATGTGTTCTGACTATGCTTGATTTCTTTAGGACAGCTACATTTCTAAACACCAGGTTTGTAAAACACAGATCCTAAACGAACCAGAGAAGCAGTGGGACTACTGAATTTTAGTTAACTAATTGCAAATTCATAGAAGAATATTTGTACCCACAGGCCAGCAGCCATTTCTGTATACTTCTGCATACATTCCAAACTGTTTCTTTCTGCTCTGTAGATCACGCTATCCTACATTAAAAATATTCTAATAGTTCAACAGTTTTTGTGACCTGCCAGTCGTATCTTTAAAAAGTGTGAGATGGTCTGGAAAGCAGAGTATCAATTTTTTCCCTATCAACTTCTACAGTTACAGAAATCTTGAGAAATAGGAGGTTTCTTATTAAAAGGCAACTAGAGAAAATAGAAATTATCTTTTTCCTGATCGTCTTTCATTTCTCTCCCATGAGGATATCGTAGCATTAGACTGTTTCGTCTTTGGTCAAATGCCTCATTCTTTGCTTACTGATTGCTTCATTTAGATGGAAATTTTAAAATTAAGAACAAATGCTAGTGTAAAGACAGCTAATTTATAAGAAGTTATGGGAATTTTGGAAAGTAAGTCTTAAAAATAACACAGGACACAGTGCAACAAACCAGCATAGTGCTGAGCCTTGCTGTGGAGCATGTGATCAGCTTGTTCCCACACAAACTCAGTGGGTAAAGACGCTGGTCTACAAGCCTGAAGACCTGAGTTTGATCCTGAGGAGACAGACCATAAGAGGAGGGAAAGAATAGGCTCAGGAAAGCTATCTTCTTATACACGCACGCACACACAGCGGCATGCATATACACACTTAGCAAAAACATAAACATGAGCAACACAATAACATTAAATGTAAAATAAGCACAGTGGTGATTAAGGGAAGACATCCCTGCATTAGCCTCTGCACGTGTGCAGACTCAAGCAGGCACTAGGGGACTAGCAGCTCTGCTCCACGGGGAGGCGCTCTGCCTGTCCTCTGTAAAGGCAGACAATGAAGTGACACATTGTCTCAATTTTACAGTTTTACAATCAGTCCTTTGCTAGCTCCCAAGCGAATTACATGCCAATAGCTTTACTTACCTTTCTGTAAGTACCTGAGAAATAAATATGAAACAGAAAGGAGAAAGGAGGCAGCTAATGTGCACAGGGGCTTTCAGGCAGGTATGAGTTATCAAGCACCAGCATTTTGTCTGTTTCTGCCTCATTCCGGTCTGGACCAACCTGACTGGACCAGCCAGCAGATAACTTGACAACCAGACTGAAAGCTTGTGGAGACTACTCTGGGCTCATTCTGATGGAGGTAAAAAAAAAAAAAAAAAAAAAATCTCATTAATGCCACATGCAGGTTCTTTCCTAGCTCTGCCTATGTCTTACTTAGGAGTGTTCTACTGGCAGAGCGGGCACAGGGCCAGTGGGCACATGCAAATGACTGGGGATAAATTCCTCAGAGTGGGATGTCAAAGCCGCCTCTCAGAAAGCACACATAGAGGCAACGGGAGAATGTGTAACATTTGTAGAATTCCTCACAATTGCTTTTCTTGATGTCATGATGACTCGTGATTCCTTTTTATCAAGAATTTAGTGAAAACTGTGGTACATTTAGACAGCTCTAAAGAAATCCCCCTATTATCCAGGTAAAGCTCGCTATAGATAATACGACGGGGATGAGTTGAGGTTTCAGGTGCCACAGAGTCAGCTCTTGCTCCTGGCTAAAATTAAGTGGTATTTCTTTGGATTTGGGGTAAACTGTAGATTTATTATTAAAATGGTAATTGTGAATAATAACTTAATTACAAGACTGTGAGCATAAGCTATAGATGTAGTGTGATTGCATATAAGCAATATTAATGAGCCTACATCAATTAATTTGAATTCTTAGACAAGTTGAACAAATTTCTAAAACCTTCAAAGCAAGCCGATCCAAGAAGAGACATGGCTACAAGCCAGATGTCCATCTTCTGTAGAATTCCGCAATAAATTGTGTATTACTAAACTGACATAACTCAACTGTCCACAGCTGAGCAGCTGTGTCAATCAGCACCACACATTCATGTCACAGACTTGGTGGTGAGGGAACGAGGCCAAGAACATCCCAGAGCTGATGGGTGTACTCCATACCTGAATTTACATTATGTTTGAACATACGGAAAATGAATCCATGCCAGTAGAAGTTAGAATGATTCTCTCTTTAGGGTAGAAAATCAACTGAGGAAGGGTTTAAGAAAGACAGCAAAGGAGAACAAAGAAAAACAAAATCAAAAAAACAGAAGAGAGAAAAGAAGAAAGCCCGTAAGAGTAATAAGAATATTCACCGTTCCAATTTGGGTACAACTGCACACTAATTTTTCTTCCTTTTGTTCTCCTGTCTTACATGTATCTCTCTCTTATTCTCCCTCTCCCTCTCTGTGTGTATGCTTATATCCTTATAAAAGGAGTTGGAAGACACTTTTATTTCATTTTTATGATTTTTAAATTGAATTACACTTCTATTCTGTGATTGCATTGTCCTTATGGCTAAATTTTTACCTATAGAATATTTAACAACTAGAAAGATTTGTGTTCAGCATTTTCTTTTGAACTTTGGAATAACATCACTCTATTGAGCTGTAATCCATACATAGTGTGCAAATCTCCAGCGGACGGCTTGTTGAGTGGTCTCATGTCTGTGCACTTGTACAGCTGCCACCCAGACTGCTGAGGAGCCAGTCTAAGAACAGATATGTGAGCACACATGACTTGTCATTTATAGACCAAAATGTAAAGAGCCAGTGCTGGGGCAGCAGGGTGTCTCAGTGGGTGGCGATACTTGCTGTTAAGCCTGAAGACCTGAGCTCAAGCCTGAGAATTCACGTAGTGGAGGGAAATGATTGATGCCAGTGAGCCGTCCCCTGATCACCTCGCCCAGCCTGTGTTACATAGTCCTACATATCTACACAAAGGAAAGCAACGTGTGACTTGGTATGTTAAAGACCTGGTGCCGTGGCAGCTTGCTCTTTCTTTCTGACTGAATTAAGATGGACTGCCCTTCATCCTGGTCTCCAAATGACAATGACCTCTCTCCATCCACAGCTGTAGTACACTCAAGGAACTGAGACAATCTCATACTCGGAACACAGGAACTAAGTGTGGGATCCTTGGTGTATGGACTCATAACCTTATCCATGTCCAGACATGTATCCTCAGCCAGCTGGCAGAGGTATCCTCACAGATTAGAATAACATATATGCACGCTCTAGAAGATATCTTATCTTTTGATTATCATGACGACAGCTAAGAAAACACGAGCTCTGTGACTCACCATAGGTTACAGTCTCTAACACTGTTGTTCCAACTGGTTGGCAAATATTTTAAAAACAGCAACAACGGTCCAGCCATGGGTGAGATTTTGGTATGATTAGTGGTTATAATAGCATGGAAAACTTGAGAGAGATGGAGGGGGGGTAGAAGAGAAGGAAGAGAGAGGAGGAGGGAGGGAGGAAGGGAATGATGGAGGGAGAGGGAGAGTGTGTGTAGGAGAGAGACAGAAACAAACAGAGAGACTGTGAGAGGGAGGGAGACAGAGGGAGTTCTCAAACAAGAGGCTACGGGAAAAAGACTAGAGGTCTGGGCAGACAGACACTTAAGAGCCATTGAGAACATGAGGGAAA